CACTTTTTCCCTCCCACTGCCCCCAAACTTTTGGGCACTTTTCCCTCCCACTAAAACCCCAAACGTGGGGCCCCATTCCCCCCCACGGGACACCAACGAGGGGGAAAACATTCCTCCCACTACACCCGATGGGGCACTATTCCTCCCACTGACACCAACATGGGGCACAAAACCCCTTCCACTGACACCAATAAACATGGCACTACTCCTCCCACTGAAAAATTTTACATTTAAATGAAGTAGCAATGAAAAAATTTTTAAAGGGTTGGGGGGGTCACCACAACATGGGGGAACTTTTTAAGGGTCGCGGCATTAAAAAGGGTTGAAAACCCCTGCTAAAGAGGGCCCCCAAATCTCTAGCTTTTCCTAAGGGGTGTGCTACATTTTTAAATGCGGACAACCATTTTTTTCAAATCTAGGGGGACAGTTGGTAGCTCTGCAGTAAAAAACCCTTTTCATCTATTTTCTCTGCAAACCTCGTTTGGAAGTTTTCCCCCATGCATCCTTTAATCCCTTTTCCGAGGCAACCCCTGTTATTTCGGGCACTATTTGTGCTCAAACATTCCAAAATTTTCCCCTAATTTTTTTGGTTTTCCCTTTGGAAATTGCGAAAGGCACCGACTCAGGTTTTAGTGGCTGTGAGCGGGGGTTTAAATTTCTTGGCTGAAATCCTTATTGGTTTAAAGGGGGGGAAAAAAGCGTGCGTTTTGGACTTGGCTCCTGATGATGATCCCTGACAGTGCTGTGAAGTGCCCCAAACTATCTGCCCCCCATCCCCCCGGGAAGACCCCCCGCGAAAGAAATTCTGTTTTTTTTCCCTTTTCCGTGAAAATACTGTAGGGGGGTTTTCTTTGTTAAATGAAGCCCCCCTTTATTTTTAAAAACGGTTAAAACCCGGGGGAATGATTTTTTTGGGAAAGGGCCCAACCACCATCAGGTGCCCCCTTTTTCACTATTCAGTACATATTGGCAAGCTTCCTAGGTTTTTTTAAATTTTTTTCCAACATACGTTATTTTTTTGCTGGGTATGAAAAAAAGTTATTTTTTTTTTTCATGGGTTCTGTTCACAGAGAGATTGGCCACAGCTCCATATTTTTTTATTTAGTTTTTTGATTCCCCCCAAAAAAAGCCCTAATTAAAAGAAAACTAAGAGCATGCAAATTTTTTGATTTTAAACCTTTCCCATGTCTGGGCTTTCGAAAAATATAAACATGGTACACTTCCCCCTTGTTGACCCAAATTTTTCCAACCGCGGGTTTCCCCATGACCTGCAAAAGGTCAAAAGATTGCCCTTCATTAATGCTCCACACATCTAGTTTCTTTCATTAACCCAGTATAAGAATCACTTCCAAAAAAGTTCTAAATTTATTAAAATTATAATTGGGTTTTGGGAAAAGCGTTTTAAACCCGTTCCCCACACATGGCAATGTGTAAGGTAAATCCCCTTGGGTTGGAAAAATCTGAATGTTCCCGGGTAGAAAACTGCTAAAAAAATGGTATTTAAGAGTAGTGGTTTTAAAGATTCAATAATCTATAAAACAAAATATATGTAGCCCCACACAAAAAAAAAAAAAAATATATATATAGCCGCTGTCACCAGGAAAACCCTAAAAAAACCCCAAAGAACAATGTAAAAACAAAAGTCAGCGCTAAAAGGGGAAAAACAGGGGGGAAATAGTACTGATCAAAAATCGTTAGATAAACATTCCTTAGGTTTACTTATTTAAAAGACTTTAGGTCTCCATGTGACTGTATCCTTTCCCATTAGTAAGGTGCTGTGATATAAAGTGCGGAAAAAAAAGCGCACTCACCAAACCCCGCAAAATTTTTTTGACGTTTTATAAAATTTTTTTCCTGATTCCCCCGCAGTCTGGGGAGTGCTGGGAATCCAGTAAAAATTCCCTTCAATGGTCCCCAAAAAAATGCTGTTTTTTAGGACATCAAGGGTCCAGGGTTTTCCCCCAGGGGATAGTCTTTTTTCCCCATGTGGGTTGTAAGGCGGGCTCCCCCCCTCCGGTTTGGGCAGGTGGGGGGCTGTAAATTTAAAACTCCCCCCTTTTGGGCACCAATTCCAAAAAAAACATTGGGGAACGGAGAAATACAGAAAAGGGGAACAAAACTGATAAAGCATGGAGGACCACATGAGAAAGTTTAAAGGGGAATGAATTTATTCTCTTTTGAAAAAAGGAATTGGGGGGGATAGATCCCTGAAAATACAAAGGGGATATATCACCATAAAAAAATACATAAGGGGAATAGACTCCATTATAATACATGGGGGGGAATGATCACCTGTATAATACATAGATTTTTATATGATTTTCTTCATTGTTTTTTTTTATTAATTTATGAAGGGGGAGTAGGATTTATGTTTGTTTTAATTAAAACATAAGCTTTTTTTGTTCTCCATGTATTTTACATTTTGCGTTAATATTTTTTTTATTTATAGTTTTTATTTTAGGGGGTATGAATCTCTCATTTTTAGTTTAGTTTAAGTGGAATTATTTTTATGAATCTCCATTGTATAATACATTTAGGGGGCTGATATTTGATCTCCCTGTTATAATACATAAGGGGGATATTATCACCCTGTTTAATACATAAGGGGGGTATTGTGATTAGCTATCGCTATTGTTAATACTAAGGGGAGATGATCTACCATGCATAATACCTTTAAAGGGAAATAAGATCTCCTTGATATTATACATAAGGGGATTTATAGAGTCTCCATGTATAATACAAAGGGGGGGGTATGATCTCCCATGTATAATACCTAAGAAGGGTTTGATATGATTCCATGTATAATCTCGTAAGGGGGCTTTTCTGATATATGATTATATATGTTAGTAATACATAAGGGGGAATAATTTTTTCATTATAAAAAATTATGAACTCCCATTATAATACAAAAAGGGGTATAAAATGATCACCATGTATATTACATAAATGGGTATTATCTTAAAGTTAGAAACATAAAAAAGGATTTGTTTTTTTTTCTCATGTATAATACATAAGGGGGGATTATGATTCCATGTTTAATATTTAAAGGGGGCGAATATGAATCTCCATGTTTAATAGATAATTTGATCAGCCTTGTATAAGGTACATAATAGGGATATATCTCCATGTATTGCAATACATAAGGGGGGATATGATCAACCATGTATAATACATAGAACAATGGGCAATTTCAACTAACATTGAATCAATAAATTTAGAATTTCCATGTTGAAATGTCATAAGGAGTGATGATGATCTCCATGTATAATTTAATAAGGGGGATATGATCAACCATGTATAATACAAAGGGGGGTATTGATCTCCATGTATAATTACATAAACAGGTTTGATAATGATCACCATGAACATAATACATAAGGGGGGGATATTATCTCCATGGTTTATAATACATAAGGGGGGATATGAGTCTCCATGTTTATAATACATAAGGGGGGGTAGATCTCCCATGTATAATACTTGTCAGGGGGATAACAAGATTCATCCATGCATAATTCATATAAAAAATGGGGAATAAGATCTCCAGTGTTAAAACATAAGGGGGGATTGAGCCCATGAGTATACAACACATGAGAAAAATGTATACGATTTGTATTATTAAATAAGTGGGGGATATGATTCCATGTATAAAGTACATAAAGGGGGATAACTGAGTCAGGCATTTTATAATTAATAATGGGGGGGATATATCTCCATGTATAATACATAAGGGGGGATATGATCGTCCATGTATAATACATTAACAGGATTAATTTCCATGTTATAAATACATAAATAATGATCTCCATGTATAATACATAAGGGTGGAATATCGAATCAAAATTTATAATTTACAATAAGTATAGATATGATTTACCCTTAATAATAATAAGGGGGGTATTATCTACATGTATAAACATAAGGGGGATCAAAAGAAAGCAGACCATGTATAAGACATAAGGGGGGGATAAGATCTCATTGTATAATACATAAGGGGGATATATCTCCATGCCATTAGTTATAATAAGATTTTTTGTCTTATATTGAAAATTCAGACTGGGGATAATGATCTCCATGTATAAGAATATATAAGGTGGGCATATGATCTCCATGTATGAATACCATAAGGGGGATATTTTTTTATTTATAAATTTGCACTAAGGGGGGGGGAATAAGATCTCCATGTATAATACTATAAGGGGGCGATATGAATCTCATGTTTAAATACATAGAGGGGTATGATGATCTCAATGTATTAATAACATTAAGGGGGGGGGGATATGATCTCCATGTTTAATACCTAAAGGGATGCGATATGAACTCCATGTATAATACATGAAGGGGGGGGATATGATCTCCATGTATAATACATTTTAGGGGGGATATGATCACATGTATAATACATATAGGGGGATATGGATCTCCATGTATAACCACATAAAAGGGGGATATGAACACCATGTATAATACAAAAGGGGGATATGATTTTCCATGTATAATACATAAGGGGGGATATTAGTGAACTCTATGTATAATACATAAGGGGATATGATACCATGTATAATACATAAGGGGAAGGGGGGATATGATCTCCTTGTAATAATACATAAGGGGGATATGCTTCAGTCCCATGTAAATACATAAGGGGTGGATAATCCTTGTATAATACATAAGGGGGGATGTGATCACATGTAAATACATAAGGGGGGTATAATACATAAGGGGGGATATGATCTCCATGTATAATACATAAGGGGGGATAAAAATGATCTCCATGTATAATACATAAGGGGATATGATCTCCATGTATAACACATAAGGGGGATATGATCACCATGTATAATACATAAGGGGGGGGATATGATCTCCATGTATAATACATAAGGAGATATGATCTCCATGTATAATACATAAGGGGGATATGATCTCCATGTATAATACATAAAGGGGGGAATATAATCTCCTTGTATAATACATAAGGGGGATAATGATCTCCATGTATAATACATAAGGGGGGAATATGATCTCCATGTATAATACATAAGGGGGGATATGATCACCATGTATAATACATAAGGGGGGATATGATCACCTGTATAATACATAAGGAGGATATGTATCACCATGTATAATACATAAGGGGGGATATGATCTCCATGTAT